CTTAATTACTCTGCCATGAAAAAGAAAATAATGGCACATTCTTCATGAGATATTCTGGTAATACGTCATTTAATGCCAGCGAATTTGATAAAGAATTTTGGGAATATGTATGTCTAAGCCTTGGTACTTTTCCTTTTTCGATTATATACCATTACACGTAGATTTTATCCCGAAGCCCCAATTACGAAATATTTCTTTAGGTTGTTGAACGCTATACTGAGTGTTGGTTATACCTGTGATGGAGGTCTACTAAACCCTGTGGTATTTTTGGGGTCGATTTTTTTCACTTGTTGTTTTTTATATTGTTGTTGGCCTTGATTTGTTTTTCGTTACTTTTCAGTCCTTTCTTTCTTTTTGTTATCTCTCTGTCTCTCTCTCTCTCTGTCTCTCTCTCTCTCTCTCTCTCTCTCTCTCTCTCTCTCTCTCTCTCTCTCTCTCTCTCTCTCTCTCTCTCTCTCTCCTCTCTCTCTCTCTCTATCAATATATATATATGTATGTGTGTGTATGTGTATGTATGTATGTATGTATTTATGTCTATATTTATCTCTCTCCCTGTATGTATGTGCTTATGTCCGTCTGTTTGTTTCTTTGCTTGCCTGTCAGTCACTCTGTCTATCAACCCGTGTGTTTGTCTGTGTCTATCTATCTATCTATCCGTCTATCTACCTATCCTCTCATCCCTCTATCAGTATGCACGTATCACAGTGTGTGTGGCTCCTCGTACAGCGCCCTTTCGACCTCAAGAGCCGATAGATTTAGCCGCGGCGTGGCACTGTGGCACGGTGCCGGCCCAGGGGATGGCAGGAACACGTTAAGAGCGGGCCCCGAGCAGAGGGTTGTCAGCTCTGTCCCGTGTTTAAGAGCCGTCTGCGGCGTCGACGTCCGTGTGTCGAGGGGGCGGAGGCATCCTGACTTCTTTATCGAGAAAATGTGTGGATGGGTTGCTTGTGGGGAGATTTGTCTATTTTTCGATTTTGTGTTTTTTTTCTGCTTTGATTGGTTTGATTTGTTTGACATTGGGAAGGAATAGAGTGTTGGAGTGTGATGTATATTTATTTATATGTTTATTTATTTACATATTTATGTTTATTTATGATATTTATGGATGTAAGCTTTGTTACAAATACATCTTTAAAAAAATAAAAATAAAACATAAATTTATAAATTACTAGTGAAAGCTGCGCATCAGGTTCTGCTGCAAAATGCGGGTATTTAGAAAAAAAAAGAAGAAAAAAGCGACAGCACACCTTGCCTTGTTCCATTAATTGGTCCCACATTTGAATCTTAAAACAGCGAGTCTTCAAGATGTTGTCACTTGTTTAGTGTTTCTTGTAAGCCCGACTGGTCCCTCTGAACGTAGATGTTTTAGAACGTTGGGTGTACTTGAGTTGTGTATTGTGTTCGTTGTTGTAGTGTTGTGTTTGTGTTGTTGTGTTCGTGTGTTGGTGTACTTGTGTTCGTGTGTTTGTGTTCGGTACTTGTGTTCGTGTGATTGTATTTGTGTTCGTGTGTTTGTGTTCGTGTACTTGTGTTCGTGTGCTTGTGTTCGAAATGTTTTCAAAGGAGAGAAAGAATCTGTATTGTTGCATACTGGCTTCGTTTTGTTTTTTTCTTCAATCTGTTGTTATATATATACTCTTCATCTATATATATATATATATATATATATATATATATATATATATATATATATATATATATATATATCTTAGGTTATTTTTTAGTTTGCTTTATCCAATTTCATTCTGTCTCAAACCGACTTCACGCCAAGAAGAGGACGAGGCGGAAAAGCAGTTAATGTTGCCTCGCTGTAAACATGTCCTGAACAAGTCTTGATGCCCAGAACTTACAGGAGAATATTATATGTCATATTTTTCTTTCTTTCTTTCTTTGGTGAACTTAAATATGATATTCTCTTGGGACCAGGTCGTTTCTGTTTGACGTGACCTTTTAAGGCGAATGTTAAACAGCTGGTAGTGGAGGCTGGTTCGTTCGTTTGTTTGTTTGTTTGTTTCATTGTTTGTTGTAGTGTTTGACGATTCTTGTGGAGAAAAGTCAGTTATTTTGTTTTCTTTTTTATGTAACCCCTCTTCATCATTCATTTCCCTTTGCTTTGATTCTTTCTATCTCTTTCTCAATTCTTCTTCTATCTTCCTTTCCTCCTTCCTAATTTTCCTTTCTTCTACCTTTATGTTCTACCTTCCCGTCGCTTTCTCTCTCTTCATGCCCCATCCCTCTCGCTCGCCCTCTCCCTCTCTACCTCCTCCCTCCTCCCTCTTTCTCCCTTTTCTCCCTCCCCTTCCTACCTCCCTCCCTCCTTCCCTCTCCATCCCTTCCTCCTCCTTCCCCCTCCCACCTTCCTCTCCCCTCCCTTCTTCCCTTCTCCCTCTCCCTCTCCTTCTCCCTCTCCCTCTCTCCCTCTCCTTTAAGCTTCATCCTCTCTCGCCCTTCCCCCCCTCCCCCCTTTCCCAAACATCTTAAGAGACTTTCTTCCGTATTGCGTCACGTCCTCCAGAAGTCCGCCCACCCTTCTCTTCTTAACTCTCTCTCTCTTCTCTCTCTCTCTCACTCTCTCTCTCTCTCTCTCTCTCTTTCTCTCTCTTTCTTTTTTTTTTTTGGGGGGGGGGGTGTTTGATATCTCTCCCAGTCTCGTTGCTTTATTATTATTATTACTCTCTCTCTCTCTCTCCTCCTCTCTCTCTCTGCTCCTCTCTCTCTCTCTCCTCTCTCTCTCTCTCTCTCTCTCTCTCTTCTCTCGTCTCCCTTCATCTCTCTCTCTCTCTTTGTCTCTCTTATTTGCATTTGTGTTTCTGTTTATTTATTTATTTTTTTTTCATCATCGTTCGAGTTCAATGTGTGTAAGGTAGATGAATAAGGTAATAGTTATGCTATACAAACCAGATTTATGTGAGGTTGAGTCAAATAGGTGGAATTATTTTCAAAAGTTGTTAGGGATAGACTGTTTTGAAGTTTTGGAACCTTCCTTATTTTGGAAGGGAGAAAAAGCACACCAGGAATCTGAATTTTGGTGGACATTGATTCGTTAATAATATGATGTGAATTAAAAAAAGAAATCTGTGAGGGTCGTGTTGCGGACGAGCTGTAGTGGCCATAGACGGTCATGACAGGTGTATCACGATCTGCTGTTACGTGTAGGGTCTTTGCCCTCCCCTTTTTTTTTTTCTCTCCCTTTTTCCTCCTTTTCTTCGCTTCTACTTCCTTTTTTTCCCCTTCTCCCTTTCCCTCTTTTTCCTTCCCTTTCCTTCTTTTTCCCTCTTTTTCCTTCCGTCCGCTCCCTTTCATCCCTTTCCCTCTTTTTTTCCCTACTCCTTTCTTCCTTCGCCTTTTCACAACGATTCCTTTCTTT